ATGAAAAGAGATTCGTCTAGTAGACATTGCAACCCGAAAAGAAACTTCATAAGAATCAACATCGAAATTTTCAATCCGATAGATTCCTCCTTGTTGTATGACTGGTAAGAATGTTGGGATTTCAAGGCGATGAATAACAGCCTCCATTTCTGTTCCCTGCAAGTCGTTTTTAAGTCAAAAACTTGAATGGTTAGAAGCGTCTATTGGGTGAATGATACACAACATGAAACGTGATAAGGAATTCAATAGACGTACTAACCTCACTATCTAGCAACAACATGTGTAGGAAGAGAGTTTCATCTATATCAGCTATCAAAGTCCTCCATAAACGCAAAACTCTCACTCGAACAGACCATTGTTGCCCATGAGAAACCTGCAACTCACGTAAAGAATGGTACACCATCTCTTGAATTCAGCTTTAATTCACGTTCACCATTCGATAATCCCCATTCTTCCAAAACCAGGGAATGGAAGTTGGGAAAGTAACAAAACTATTGTGGATCTTCGGCAATCAAATAAACTGGACACGGGATAATATTAGATAAAAATTAGATTATGTGGGATTAATGTGGGGTGTGGGATTAATATCCGGGAGGGATGGGGAGAGTGGGGTGTGGTAGTTAACACAATTAATTTAATATTTGTTTTGAGTAAAGCACAACAAATATAAATTAAATCAAATGATTTTGAAATAAAAAAAATCGTCACTTTTAAATTTCGAACTTTTAACTTATTGACATTGACAATACAATCAACTTATAACCGTTAGACAATCAAGCAAGTTTCAATACCTCATCCAGAATACGTACCAAGAACTAAACTAAATGAAAAACATACATGTACTTGAAATAACATAAGTATCTGTTCTTCTAAATCAGAATATACCACCTACATTGCAATAACAATATAAAAAGTATTTTTTCTACTACTGAAAAGATGAAATGCACAAATTAATATTGGAATTCATATTTCCTAGATATCATTGCCTTGATTCCTTCTCAGACAACCAGCTGATTCATCCTTCAATACGAACCACCTGAAATAATAACAGAAGTAGAAACTAATTATTAAATGTAAAGCCTCAGTTGTGTTAATAAATAGCAATATACTCTTGTATTTGAAATAAAAAAGAGAAGACATATACCTTCTTGGATTGCAAAATGAGGACAGTGTTTATAAATTCAGCTTAAGATCCAGTAATGGTTGAAATGCTTTTGAATGCCAAATTGCAAACATGTGAATCTGTGGTTCAACTTCATATTCTTCCCCAATGATGTATAATTCTGCCATAAATTTGATGTTACAACATTCTTTCAGCATCTGAATTCTCTTGTCATATGGCATTTTCTTAAACTCGATTGGTGGCTTACGAAGCAGAGCAAGAGCAGGTCCATGATTAATAATGACCTTTGCCTTGTGATTTCCTGATTCACATTCAGCCTGCAGTTCATAGAATAATTTGAAAATATATATAGATTAGATACATTTGGTCAATGTGTAGTATTTTTATAATAGGGAATCAAAAAGCAAAGGTATTTGGAAATACTCAGTGTCTCCAGGGAAAACTTTACGGGTCACAGAACAAAGGTCGAATTTGATTATTTTCAGTTTGCACCGATAGAGTATCTGTCATATAGTTTGATATAGGGGAAATATAAAAATTAGAATAGGTGTTTTTGAAAACACTGCTACTGTTAAAAGTCAATTTGAAACCTATCTTCATTTGAGAAACATACTTCAATCACAAATGTATAACAAAACATAGAAGATAATGATAGTTACCTCTGTTTCTTCTTCTCCTAAAGGCAGCTTGTTGGTCAATTCCAATAATGAGATTCTGGGCGGAATTTTTTGCCGAAGGTATCCAAGCCGCTCTTTTGACTTGTAGTCAATAATATCCACAGGCAATCTATTAGGAAAGAACCTAGAATGTTTTGAAAGTTAAATTAGACTGTTTCTAGGAAAAAACATGAAAAATATATTAAAATTAAACATATACATATGACCATTTACCTGTTAATTAAATCTTTGGTCATCTGATTGTACGAATGTACTATAAGACGACTGCCAGGAGATGTTGCAAAACAGAACTCTATTCAACTTATTGTAAAAGCATTCGGACAAAAACTCTATTCAACTTATTGTAAAATACCATGTGGGTCTTCCGGCAACATTTTCCCTTTTGTTGTCACCGAAAACTACAGATCAGTTGTGATAAAGCTTTGGGGTACCAATAGCTTCTTACTCCAACTGTGAAAGAAGACAAAATGAGGAAAACAAAGGAAAAGAAATAGAAAGAATATAATAAATATGTAATACTTGCCATAAATTATGTAGGGGTCGACTGCAGGAGATGGGGGACCAGAACGGCGGCAGCTGCAGGGTAAGATTCTAGGGTTTCCCCTTACGTGAAAATCAGCTGACCAAGAAGACAAACAGAGACAACTCTTTTTGGTATTGTACACTCTTTTTTAGCTGATGGAGGGAAACTAAGGTCGGGCTAATGTATGAGGATGTTTGGATCAAAGCCCAGACCTTGGGCTCGATTCAGTGGTCTTGAGTGGGCCGAAGCAACAACAGACTGACCTCGAATCTTAATGGGCATGCAACCACGACCATCTCTGGCATCAGTATGGAATTTGGAACCATTCCAAATGGGCCATAGAGATCCATAAATCCAGCCATAAAGCATAATATTCTATAAATTGTAATTCAATGGAGGCCCAATAGGAATTATGTTTCCTTTATCAAATGAATTAAAGGCCCAATATTTTCCCTTTACTTTTCTAAACAAAGTAAATTTATTAAACTACAAAATAATAACCCACCAACAGTCATCAAAGACGAAAACGTTTCAGCTTCCTTCTTCCCTTCCATACCTCTCTTCATTCTTCGCTGAAGAAAACAAAAAACCACCAAATTCGTTGCATGCACGACGTTTCGCGTCCTCCTCCAGTCAACCGTCCCCAAAATTCTACCTCGCAACATCTTTCCTTTAAATCTCTCAACAACAGCAAAGTTTTTTCTACCCTCTGATATCTCCAGTCGCCGATTACCAAAACGAATCCAGATTTTGTGAAGGTATTAGATCTAAACCAGGCTACGAATACTACTAACATCTTGTGGAATGATCAAGTTCAGAACCGAGAAGTCAAATGCATTTCTAAGTAGTTCTTACTATTTTTTAGGTCTCATTCAGTTTGATATTTCTTTATTTGCAGAGACCTTCTTTTGGCTTTTTACAAATCAAATCAGATCAAGCCTCATAGGATCTTATTCTACAGGTAAAATTTCTTATGATTGTTGCATGCTCTGATTTGGTACTTTTTTCTCCTTTTCTTACTTCCAAAATTGCTAAACTTGACTTAAGATCCAATGAAAATACTGCTAACTTCATACGTGCGTTTGTTTCCATGGTTTCTATACAATGTGGTTGGATTTATTAAAATAAGGGGCATGATTAGTTATGAGTTATTCTATTATAAAACAACATTAATCCATAATTGAGATCGTATATATGTTTCTTTCTTTTCTTGGATCTAATTACATAGTGTGTGTTGCTAATATTGTTAATAATCTAAATTAATTCTAATAATAGATATTAAGTAGAATGAAATAAGTTTGATAAATATTTGAAGATGGATATAATACTTGAATGGAACCATAAGTAATTGCTTCCTAACCAACTCATAATAAATATATTCTTGTGATCTCATAATTTTGCAAATACAGTTGCTAATATTGTTAATAATCAAAATTATAGGTTTTTTACCATGGGAGATAATTTCGTTATGAATCTAGACTATGAAATTGCCGCAGCAATTTGGCAGATTGTGAAAACAATAGATCTTATTCCAATGCAATTGGATGGTGCTAATCAGGTGACTAAGATAATATGTTTTTTATCTATCCTTTTCTATCACTTATCACAATGATTTGTATCTGATTTGGTATTATTTTTAACTCCTTTTGTTTTGAATTATATCAGAGCAAGTCATACATTTTATCTGGCGTTGTAACAGACTTGAGGAGATCTTGGTGTGAGGCATCCAAGATATTTTTGATTCACTTGACCATTGAAGATGACATTACTGATATTGAGGTCATGTTCCCATCAGCTTACTTAAGGAGAATCATGTCTTCTGTTGTCGATCCCTCTGTGATTGAAGATGCAGATTATGTTACACTTCTCAACATGATTTGTGAGAAGAAATATAAGGTCTTGGTCACATTCGGTCGTTGGAATGACGTAGGGAATTATCTTGATCTCTTCTTGGTTAAGTTGTTCCCAGCTTTAGATCACTAAGTAGCATTAGGTATTATTAATATGATTAGATTAATATTAGTAATGGTCCACCTCTCTTTAATTTCTAATGATCTGTAAGCGTAATGAATATGTGAACGCTAATATCTTTTGTAAGTTTATTATCCTTTTGAGGAGGTACTTTATGTAATATATCAATTGAATTTAGTTATGGTACTTTGAACAAATTAATCATAATAGATATAACTTGATTGCTAATATTAATACATGTTAGTTCCAAATAATTATTATTTAATCTAGTTATATAACAGTCCTACTATTAATGCATTTTAGTGCCAAATACCTTCAATTTATTATATGAAATAGTATAGTGAGACTGCCAACTGGCAAACCAATTTAACACAAATCAAATAACAGAAACATAGAGAGAGAGAACAACAGAGAGGAGTAGGAAAAACGGAAAAAACATGAAGGGGAAAATCTCTTTAATAGTAAAGAGGACCAAACCCAATTCTCATATGGAAAAGCCCAAGAAAAGTTAGCCCATGGTATAGGCTACATAATACCCAATTGAAATATTCAGAAAAATCTACAAATCTAAAATATGTTCACAATCATAAGTCCAAGTGCAAATCAGCAATATTCAGTACTTAACAAACACATAACAAACTCTGGAACACAAAATAAATGCAATGAAAATATCCTATCTGCAACAAATTCTTTGTTGGCGTTGCAATCATTCCAGGGGCATCTTCCTCTTCAATTTGTTGTCTGGAGTTCCATCAGAATCCACTGGTGTTTCAATCGATTTTCCAATAGCAGACTGTCCAGAATGATCAGAGGAGGGTTGAGAACATGCAGGCCCACTCGCAATAGAAGAAGATGATCCATCTTTGTGAATCATATAACCTTCTCCCTGAGATTATAATATCCAAATGTAACATTAGCCAGTAAAGAAATTATAATAGGATTCTTGACTGGGAAAAAAAGATTACAATCTAGATCAATACTGAGATAGAAAAGTGATCATAACACTTCATTCTTATTTAAAGAGGAAAAATACTTGCAGGGATATAGTACTGACCTTTGAGGTGGGTTCTAGTATTCTCAACACAGTAAAATCAGCCTGGGAATCAGCAAAAAGGTTGATCTTGAATTTGACATGGAATCTCTTGGTCAGACCTACCAGTTGAAGCAATTCATCAGGTGGCAAGTCACCATTCTGCCCATTTTTCAGGAATAGTTCATGACCACTCAATCCAAAGTATCGCTTCCCTTCATACTCAAAGAGTACAAATACTGCTGACTTCAAATAACTTTGGACTTCAAGTTGAACACGGTATCTGAACAAAACACGAATTTCAAATAAAATTAATGGAAATAATTACAATTCAATGACGAAGAATATTGAATGTCAACTAAAGAGGAGATGTTTACTTGGCAGCCTTGGCTGATATTCCCTTGTTGCATCTAACACAATAGTACTCATTTTGTCGGTGTATAGGTTTCGAAACACAGTTAGGACACCCCATATAACACCAGCCTGATTTAATTCCAACAACTTTGCATTCAACAGCAAACACCATTTCCTAATATCAAATACGTTTACTATAAGTCTCTAATGAAATGAAAATGCAAATAGTATAAGAAATATGAAAGAACATAGAAGTAACCTCCTGGTCTGGATCCTCTTGTAATTTCAAAAGTTCAGAAAGTGAAATAACAGGGAATTCAGGAGGTGGCGGTGGTTCCACAAAGACAGGCAGCTCTGGTTGCACAGTACTGATTTGAACAATAAAAAAATCAATAATTAAACAAAACTAAATCCCAACACAATGTCATAGACACAATACGGTGATGAATACCCGGTAGCAAAAGCTTTGACAGCTGGAATATCGAGGTTACGATACACAACTGTTGACCCGGATGATGAAAATGATAACTCATCTACAAAAACCAAATATCAGTCTAGTCTTGCCACTGATCTTGCCACTAATAACATTATTAAACATAAGAAAGGAAAGAAATAATAATAGCACCTTTGAAGTCACCCACACTAATAGCTGAAATAACCAGTATATTCTGATCATCACCATGAGCATCAATAATCTTATCAAACTGTTCAATAACTCTTCCCCAAATAACTACTTTGACAACATCACCCCTACATAAATTTGAAACAAATATCTAAGATGGTAAAAACCGAATCTTGCAAACAAACATGAATATCGAAAATGCAATAATGCTCCCTCAACAAATAAAAGAAAAACCAACCAAATAGTGAGCAATCAAATTCAACAAAAGTTTTCTAAATGCGTTTCATGTCATACATATAAAAAAAACTCACTCAATCAGTTGCAATGTGAGCTCTTTCCTTATAGTTTTCCGAGTAAGGCTGGTAGTAGTAATTGCATCTGAATGTGTGCGCAGTTGACCAACAACATCTACAACAAATCATTTTAACAAAATAAATTCAGATACACATTATTTCCTAACTGAAAATACATGTAAGAATGAAGAAGTAACCTGAAAGAATCTCAACATGACCCAATTTTCCCGCCATCTGACTTGCATTTAGGAAACTGAATTTGAAGGTTGGAATTGCAGGAACTTCAGGAACATGATGAACAGTTGTCTTCCTACTAAATTGTATCAAATATGGATTCCCAATAGGTCGATATTTCAGTCCAGTTGTATTGATATCGAAGTTCTTGATAATGTAAACATGGTTCTCCTTCAGCATCGTCTTAAACTTTTCTATCAACACAGGAGGGATTTGTACCCAGATATCATTGCCCTTCAAAATGGAAACGAAAACTAAATTTAAAAAACAGCACTCATTTTGGAACAGAATCTTCATATCCCATGAAAGAAGTGATTACCTTTGAATCCATCAAAATGAGGTCAAGATGGAGAACTTTGTTTGTATGTACATTCACCCCAACCCACATTCTGGAAACACGACATTGACCTGACCAAATCTTCTTCTCCGACTCAAGGTCACGAATGCTTTGGGAATCCATTCTAGAGACTCAGCAACAAAAAAGGAGGTTATTGAAGAGCTACGGGTTTGCATCAAAACAGTAGTTACAGTTACAAAAATTGAACGTGAATTGATACCTGGGAGAAAAACAAATGAGCACAGAAATTGTCAACTGCTGTGTCTAAGCTGATATATATAGTTGCTGAAGACAGTAGCAGTTACTTCAACTTTGAAAAAGCCACGTCGGCCACGCAGAGCTACATTTTCGGAATGGAGAAAAGTTGCACACACTCGGACGATTCCCGCGGAAGATTATTGCTGAATGTAGATAACTGTAACTCTAGGCAACTATGACCTTCATTTTGTAAATATAACTCACAAAATTTGAGAGGGCTTTCTAACTTGGTCTCTTCTATGCAGCTAATTCTGACTCCTGGATTTCCCAATTTCAGACCTCGTTCCAGCTGAGAGCTCATCATCTTCACCTCAACGCTAAATTTGATATGTGTTTGGGCGAGATTGGTAAACTGATTAATAGAATGGTGCAAATAGGATTGGAATTTGGTTGGAGATGGAAATACGAATGTGATTTCACCGCCGGTACCAAGCAAACAGGAATCTACGGTCTACCGCAAATATAAAAATGGAGCTAGGGTTCCCTATGGCTTCACCGCAAGTAAATTGAATTCCATGTTTCTAGCCTTTGAATTTTGTGTGGGCTTTCAATATGGGCCAGAGGTGACTAATCTTCAAATTGGGAATGGCAACAAAATAGAAGCCCAATTCTATATCAGAATGTCATCAAATAAAAGCCCTAATTGAACAATGGTAAAGTATGAAAATACCCAACCAAACATCATAACGTCCTCCAATCAAAGAACCTAACTCGTCCATAGAGTATCAATATGCTTCCAAACAATTTGCTTCCCTAAACCCTAAACCCTGAACCCTGAACCCTAATGAGTAGAGTTATAAGTCTGGAAAATCTAATGAGTAGCTCACCTGTTGTGTGGGTTCCAAGACTTTCAAGACGGTGAAATCAGCTTGTGAATCACGGTAGAGATTTATCTTGAACTTGACATGGAATAGTTTGGTCTCACCAACTATTTGGAGTAGATCAGGAGGGGGTACCTCATTGTTCTGGCCCGTCCTATTGAAAAGATCATTACCACTGACACCAAAGAAGCGTTTTGCTTCATACTCAAAGATGATAAAGGTCGCTGGCACAGAACTGCTTTCAACATCAAGCTGTATACGATATCTGGAAAGGCACGAAATGGAAAGTCAGCATATCAATGAAGTTTATAATCCAAGGATCTGGCATTTTCTCATAAACATGAATCAATTGACGATGCATCGCTAGGGTTGGCAGATTGATAAAATAAATGAATCCCATTTTGAAGTAGTGAATTTTTTAGCCAGTAAATCACTCGTATCATCGAGTAAAAAAAAAGAGTTAGGTATTCATTTATTTATTATCATTTGACAAAAACATATCTGTATGGTCAGCACAAATTATTGGTTGGCATGCGTGTCAAAAGAAACAACAACAAAAAAAAAAACTTGTGGATGAATAATTTTATTCTTAATGGTTTCTATTGGTTTTTCGGTTTTAACCAAACCAAAACCATTAGTGGCTTATTGGTTTAAAACAAAACAAAAGAAAAAATTAGCTTTCCAATTGGTTTGAGTTTGGTTAAAACCTAAAAAACCCAAACCAAATGGACAGCCATCGCGACGGTTGGATCAAACAAATACAAAAACCAAAAAACAAAAAAAAACAATAAAAACCTCCCACCCACCCGAAGACGGTTTAACTCCCTTCTTCCTTTCCCTCCTCCATCGCTCTCACCTACCCTCCAGTCCCTCCACAGAAACCTGACCATCCACATCCCCAACCCACCATCTTCTGCTTCTCCTGCTTCCCGCTCCATCTGCAAACCCCGACCCTCCCACTACTCTCGCTCATTCTCCCTCGTCGAACAACCCTGCCGTCGAATCACCACTCCCGCGGACTCCAACAACGGCACCGAGTCACGACGTCACTATTCACTCGCCGGCGAGAAGACCAACTGTCCAACCAAGCCATTGCATGCACTCATGTTCCAGCCCTCCCTGACTGACCGATATTAGTACCATCTCTACATCTCCAGGAGGTAAGTTCTAAAGTCTTACCTCGTAAAGACCCAGCATAAGACGTTTCAACTCCCTTCCTCCCTAACGCCTTCTTCTGCTCTGCTCACTCTCCGGCCAACAAAGCAACTGGAAACCCATTCCAGTGCATGCACTCATTTTCCAGGCCTTCTCTCTGCCTGATCGACGTTAATCCTATCTCAGCATCTCTAAAAGGTAATTTCTAAAACCCTACCTCGGCAAAATCTCCCCTTTCCTCTCATCAAGAACTTCAACCAATTTTTCCAGCCCACTCATCAATTACATTCGCTTGCTGGCCTTCAAATTAGGTTTCTCCAGATCTACTACAATCTTATCATCCAGATTTTTTTTTTTTTTAGTTCGATACTCCAAGGAAACTTTGTATGTTTGTATTGACACATTCATGTATTGGTTTGCTATTGTTTGTGTATATTCGGGTTTACATAATTAGTTGATTAGATTTACAGCTCTAACATTTGTTGATAGAGTTGCTAATATTGCTACTAATCTAAATTATAGATTTTTTTCCATGGGAGACTTCGTTTCAAATCTGCACTATGAAGTTGCCGCAAGAATTTGGGACAATGTAGAAACTATAGATCTTATCCCTATGCAATTGGATGTTGCTAATCAGGTGAATCAGATAACATGTATTTTATCTATCCGGAATCTATATTTTATCTAAAGAATTTGCATCTAATTTGGTCTTATTTTGAACTCCTTATGTTTTGGCTTGTACCAGGGCAAGTCATACATTTTCAATGGCTGGGTCACAGAATTGAGGAGATCTTGGCATCCAGCATCCAGCATATACTTGCTTCACTTGATAATTGAAGATTTTATCACCGATATTGAGGTCGTATTTCCATCAGCTTACTTACGGCGAGTCATGTCTGCTGTTGTTGGTCCTGATGAGATGGAAGATGTGGAGTACATTCCACTACTCAACATGATTGGTGAGACGCCATATAGGGTCTTGGTCACATTCGGACCTTGGAACAACGTGGAGAATCGTCTTGATCTCTTCTTGGTTAAGTTGTTCCCGATTTTAGATGACTAAGTAGCGTAGGGTATTATTAATATAATCGGATTAATGTTAGTAATGGTCCACCTCGCTCTAATTTCGAATTATCTAACCGCGTAATGGATATGTGAACGCAAATATTTTTTGAAAGGTTATTATCCTTTTGAGGTGGTCCTTCATGTAACCATATTTTGAACATCATATAATGTTGCTCTTTGTTTACTGTCACCTTCCTTGCTATTTGGTAATTCCTTTTAAATTATTGTACTCTAGAGTTTAGAGTTGGAACTCGCTGCCAATGCAACTCCCTCCTCCCACGCGTCCCTCACAATTGCATATGTAGTATTGAAGTGCAGGGCTTGAAACCAAAAGCGATATGGAGAAAGAAATAAACACGGCATGGACTGCCACGGCAGCTGAATATGGGTTCCGAGAGATTTCGATGGAAGCATTTCACCAGCAGTCTTTGGGCCGACTACGTCAGGGGGGAAGAGTTTGGGCCGGATACTTCAGGGGGCAACAGCCCGGTCCGACTATATAATAAACTGGCCCAGTCTTTCGACTATATAATATGGGTTCCAAGAGATTTCGATGGAACCATTTCACCAGTAGTCTTTGGGCCGACTACGTCAAGGAGGAAGGGTTTGGGCCGGATACCTCAAGGGGAATAAAAACTAAAGAAAAAAAAAACTATATTACAAAGGAATAAATATAGCAAATTAATCTCATGTCTTATCATACAAACCACACTGCAACTTGTAAACTCAATCAAAAATTTCTGGGAATACTATGTTTAGCATCGAGTTCGGGTCTTCATCATTATCATTCTCAATTAAGATTTTGAGACCTTGCCTTGTTGTAATTCTGGACAATGCAACATAAAGTTGGCCATGACTGAAAACCTGCCTCTGGAGACATAAGCCAACATGATCAAGTGTTTGTCCCTGACTTTTATTAATAGTCATGCCAAAACATAGAGCAATAGGATATTGTCTTCTAAGGAGAGTAAAATTAAGACTTTTGTAATATGTTGACAATGTAAGTCTAGGGAGAAACACACGATCACCTACATTGGTACCGGTCAAGACCTCCACCTCAATGAACCATTTCCCCAAAGTCTTAACAATCATTCTGGTACCATTACAGAGCCCAACTGTTTGATCCATATTCCGCATCAAAATTACTGGACATCCCACTTTAAGTTTCAGTTCATAATCAGGAAAGTTACCAACCTTCAATGTATTCAGAAACTCAGTAGTATAATCAGCATCCACCACACCCTCCTTTCCAGGATCCACTTCAATTGAATCTGAGCTAAAGTATGTAACCTCATCTCCTGGAAATTTTGCTAAAGTAAATGTATTGATTGCAGAAACCATATCATGGTGTGGTGCCAAAATAGCTCGTCTGACCAAATAATTATGATCTGAATAATACCTCAAAAGATCACCATAAATTGAACCCACAATATCAGTAACAGGATCTGATTGGCGAGGTACTAATAACTCATGTGGAATAGAAATAGTAGACTCACCAAAAACATCTGAATCAACCCCATCACCAATTTGCAAAAGCCAATTCTGGAAATCAGCAATTGCTAGAATTTCTTCTGGACATTGATTGCCACGTGATAGCCTCATATTTTGAATCAATTTAATTACCTTCAAATGCTGCCACAAATAAGATCTCTTAATAGATGAGTTGACACAATCAGCTCGTGTACCTTTTAATACTATAGGCAGGGTTTGCCTGAAATCCCCTCCAAAAACAATTGTCAGACCTCCAAATGGTTTCTCATCACTATTTTGATATCGGAAACGTAATATATCTCGTAATGATTTATCCACAGCTTCCACCACATG